CTCTCTCTCTCTCTCTCTCTCTCTCTCTCTCTCCCCTTCACTCTATTTATCGATTCATCCCATCCTCTTGCAATGATTATTTCGCAGCATAAGTATCTTACACGTACAAACACGGTCATATACTCCTCCCCCTCACACACACACGCGCGCACACACGTACATACATATATTGTGTATATTTTTACGTTTTTATGCTACGTACACGGATACAAGCAAAGGCAGGTGTGTACAGAGAAATTTTTTTTAAAAACGTTCTCAACATGAAGATCTCGCACCTGACACCACCACACCTCCCTTCCCAGAACTATCTCCCAACTTCCTCTAACTTTACTCACAGATATCCTTGCTGTATTGGCTTGAAGCGACTCCGGATACTGCACTTGAAGTCCGGCCGAAGGTCAGGATCGTCGTCCCAACAGGAGTGAATAAGGTCGATGACATCAGAACTGCAGGAGAAGGAACTGGTATCCGGTCTGAGAACGGGAGCTGTTTCTGACATGAGCCGTTCAATAATCTCTGTAAATGGACAGAACTAGGTTATTTTTAAAAAGAGGTACGCGAAATTCTGTAAACAACGATTTTCATACCCTGTCAAACCAAAGTTACTCCAAAAACTGCCCGTCGCATTAACATATCTGATCTGCTGTTTTGAATCCTAGAAAGTAGGGGGGGGGGGTGTTGTTGTTTTGTTTTCTTTTGTTTTGTTTTATTTGGAGAGGGATTTCAATTTTTTTTTTCGTTTCCGTCTTAGAATGTTACGTCTCATCCCAATATCCAGGCATGGAACTAACTGACCCATCTTCCATGTAAGTTACATTGAGCTTATTGTCTAGCAGAGAATTTAACTTGAAACACTTCTAGAAAATAATTTTCCTACGAAAAAAAAAAAGAAATTCACATTGAAAGTACAAGATCTATCTTAAACTAGAGGTCTTCCAATGGGTTTTTAAAAGTTTCAAGTAACAAAAATCCCTTACTTAATAACATTGAAAGACATGAGCAAATAATAGGTTCTTCCTTTCGTAAATATTGCTAAGAAATCATGCATTATTTTTTAAGTTCTTTATTTCCATGAGGCATATTACATAGCTTTGTGCGAAAAAACATAACCCATGCGCACTCACCTCTACATGTCATTTTAATTTGTCCCCACGGTCCCGATTTTCCGTAGAGCTCGTACAGTATAATACCGAAGCTGAACACGTCGCCCTTCTGACTGCCATGCTGCTGTTGCTTCTGTTTTTGGTGGAGTTGGGATTGGTGATGGTTGTGGTGATGGTGGTTGTGGTTGTGATGGCTGTTGTGGTGACTGTGTTGGTTGCGCTTAAAGGGCAACAACTCGGGAGCCGTCCACAGCAATTCTGCAAGAGAAAGAATATTTTGTTTTCAGTTGAAATAGAAGTTGTTATGCCCCCATCCATATGACCTTAATCAATTAGGAGAAGCGCTTCGACTCTACCTGTCAGGGACAACCCCGGATGAGAGAGATGCAACGTCCCATCACAGTCGTCATTGGAAAGAACAAAACATATTGAATAGCACTGGGTTTTGAAAACATAAATCTGGTTACTTTTCGTGCAAATGTATCTGTAGGGGAATGGTGTGGAATGGCACAAAAACACAAAAGTAAGTTCGAAAACGTTTCTTTACTGAGTCCTTAAATACAATTACCAGCTCTTAATAAGGGCCAGTTGTCATGGTTCCCCATGGAACGAACGTGGTCTGAAATGTGGAAGTCTGACGAATTATATTTCAGATTCTTTCTAGAATATGTCCTCTCAGTAAGGTGTCTTTAAAGGGGAAAAAGTGCTACGCCTTCGAAATGTCCAACATCATGTCGAAGGAAGCATTGCTTTTATTACAAGAGATTAAGAGATATACTTTAAGACGCACTCTAAGTGAAGTTTAGTGTACACCGCAGGGTTGGGTTTCTTTTTTGTTTTTGTTTTTGTTTTTGTTTTTGTTTTGTTTTTTTGCTGCACGATCTTTTTTTCGCGTTTGCCCATTTTGTTTGTGGAGAACGTTCTGAAGTCACGATTATGATCCGCCCAGTGTCATGTGTTCCAGTGAAGTAGAGCCCCCTTTAACATTTCGCGAACGACTTGATTTCACGAATTTCTGTAAAAATCACCCAAAAAATCTCGAATTCACGTCGCGTCAGAAAAAAACGGTACACAGTATTCAATGTGCTGCATAAATACTTTTTTTACAGCCAAATAGTGTGCTTGTTTCAAGGACATCTGTAAAACATCGTCGTGGTTTTAATTCCTTATAGTTCCTGGCTATGTCTCAAACCAACGGAGTTTCAGTGACAAGACTACGGTCTACGTGGACGTACAAAACAAAGTGAAGCTGATAAACAAATTGTTTTCTTAGTTCCTTACCTCTGAAGAAAGGTTCATCTTCAAACATTGCGTGTGGGGGCGAGCCCAGGGCAGTCAGCCCAAAGTCCGACACTTTGAGTGTCCATCTGCTATCCACTAAACAGTTGCTGGACTTCAGGTTACCGTGGAATCCGAAATCACTTTCGTGTATGAAAGCCATTCCCTGAAAAATGTCATCAAGTTTAAGTTCATCTGAACTGTGTTATGAAAGATAACTGCCTGCATGTTATCTAGCAAGATGATGGTAGACTGTAGCTGGCACAAAATCTCTTTAAGTATTCATAGATCCTTTCACGATTACTGGAATATTGGGATCACAAAAAGCACTTTAGACACTCATCAAAAGGTAGTAAAAAATGAAAGCAGCCTTCACTAAGTGATAGGTCTGTTAAAAATCGGTTTTGACATGTTGCTCAATTCCAAGCAATACGGAAAAGTATAAACAAGCAATCAATGAATCCGAAAACATAATTATTTGAATTTTTAGTTGAGAGCGCACTTCAGTTAGACCCAAGACACAAATTTGACAACTATCGAGACAACGATGTTCAATTATCGTTTCCTATCAGTGTTTACGTATCACTAAATTTAATTTAGAATCCAAAAAGAGAAGTGAAGCGCCTCTCACCCTGATGAGATCCTGGACTAATGACGTAATGAACATGTCATCCAATGGGGAGTTGTCATCCCTGAGAATGTCCTGTGGAAAACACACAAACACATTGAGATCCTTACGGTTTGATAGTTGTTTTCCACAATAACGTTTAAGTGGTAGATTCCGTCATCTATGTATAAAAAAGGGTTTTTGTTAAGCTAGTTTGGGTCGACCAGAATCAATAGACCAATAAATAGATATAAATAGGTGGATAAGATGACACTCAAACTGGAGAAGACTTGTGGATAAAGAGAAATATGGTGAGATATAGCGATGGAGAAAGAAAGCCATTATGAGATGTGACTTTCCAAACAATGGCGTATTGTTTGACTTCTATAGCTTTAGAGGTGTTTAAATACAATGCACAAATAAGCAACTGAAAATTCGTTTAATAAAACATTCCAACCTTTCTTCAATATGTTTAAATATATGATATGGGTTTATTTTTTCCCTCTTGACACCATGTAGTGTTTATATCAGATTCTGGAAAATCAAAACTGTTTCTATCCTCTATTTTTTTTTACACAGTAGCAGTTGACATTTCACTCCAAAATGTAACACTCCACCACCCCCCCTCCCCCTTTCTACCCTCTTCCTATTCTTTCCCTAACTTCAAACATTATGGAACTGTAGCGGAGCAAAAAAGGTAATAATAATTTTGCTCATTCCGTCCTTCTCCCCTCTCTACCCCTTCCGTCGTTTCCCGTCTTGTGCCTACCAAACATAACTGATCGTTAAAAGTATTGTTTGTTCTTACCATGTCGATAACTGACATCCTCCTCCCTCGTCACCCACCCCTTTTAACCCCCCCCCCCCCCATAAAAACGACACTCTTTATCTCAAAATTTAAAAACACCCACCAACAACTCCACTCTCAGAACAAAAAAATAAGTCAATAAAGAGAAAATGATAAGAAAATTCATTATCTGAAACACCCAAATCTACCAACGACACGGACCTGCAAACTCCGCTTGGGGCAGTACTGTGTGATGATGAAGACCTGCGGGGGCTCTATGCAAGCGCCGATGAATCTATTCAGGTTTTCGTGGGTCAGCTCCTTACGCTGCTGGAACTGTTTTTTCAGGGCCCTCGTGAGCTCTACGTGCTTCCTGGTCAGCTGGGCGAGTTCACAGTACAAAGACAGTTAAGGACGAAGTAGACCTCGAGGAAGCAGTAACACATTTATGTGCGCGTGAGCAAGCACGCGCACGCACACACTGTGTATGTGTGTGTGTGTGTGTGTGTGTGTGTGTGTGTGTGTGTGTGTGTGTGTAGATTTATACTTGTAGATAGATAGATGACGTTCATTATTATTCAATGATAGATTTGCTAGACATTTTTCCAACACTAACTTAGTTCGCACAACGAACAATAGCACGAGGTGTATTGTGGCAAGAACCCGTTACCTTTTTGATGAATTTGCTGCCTACGAATATCTGCAATAGATTGATTTTTGGGAGATAGAGGGAAGATTATTATGAGGGTTATTTTCGGTTTTGTCTTGTGTGAGACTATAGTCCTTTGTTTGCGGTTTGTTCGGTTCGCACGCGCGTGCACGCGCTGCGCCCGTACGTGTGTATGTGTGTGTGTGTGTGTGTGTGTGTGTGTGTGTGTGTGTGTGTGTGTGTGTGTGTGTGTGTGTGGTTTGGGGGTTGGAGGAGGCTAAAGAGAGTATGGAGTTGGTGTCTTCTTTGTTTCTGACTTGTGTGGTTCAATTTCTAAACACATCACTCAGCACTTCTGAAGTTGATCAAAGGGGTTAGACCTTCTCTTTGCATTTAGTTGTTCCTTATAAAAATTGGACCGACATGTCTTTCTTCCAGTGAACTCTATATGTGCGCAGTCAAACATCCAAGCAAACAGTGAAACACGAACAAAGAATGATTCGCGCCGCAGCCTTGCACAAAATCCTTGTATCTTTCGACTGTGTTTAATAGCAAAATGGTTCTGTCCTCCAGCAAACGCGGCCCCAGAAAGAGGCTGATAAAGGTTTTTCGAATGAAATAGTGCCCATACAAAGGATGGAACAACAGGCGTAATAACACTCGAGAAAAATCGAAAAAGGTGACAGCTGAATCTCGATGATTTTTTAATATTTTACTTTGGGAAAGAAACGTACCGGTAGCTGGAGGTTGACCTCTGTTGGTGCAAAAATATGAACGTGCACTAGCCTACCAAAGCCATGTGTCGAGCACTGACTGAATGAACAGAAAATGGGGATGACAGCGATCTCCTTTAAAACGTTTGGAAGTTCAACCAAAGAATTTGAAACCAAAAATAAGGATAACATTTTTACCTACAATCATAGGTATAATGCAATAAAGTAACCAAAACGAGGCGACGAGAAGAAAACGATAGTCAAGGATTGTAAAATATAGTGGTCTAGGGTGCAAACGGAAGTACATTTTTCATGTGAAGCATTTTATGGGCAAATTGTTACTGTCTGGAAGGGTCCATGTCTATGTTCCCTAGCCCTATGTTCCCTAGCTCTATGTTCCCTAGCCCTAATGTTCCCTAGCTCTATGTTCCCTAGCTTTATTCAAGTAACACGATGACCAAAGGTCAACTAATGGTGAGAGTGACCAGTGGTCAAGCAATGGTCAGTGTGACCGTGTTCAAGCAATTGTCAGAATGACCATTGGTCAAGCAATGATCGGAGTGACCAGTGGTCAAGCAAAGGTCAGAATCATGTGGTCAAACAATCGTTAAACTGACCAGTGGTCAAGCGTAAGTTTATAATGAAAAAGGACTTTACAGAGCTAGGGAACATAGGGCTAGGGAACATAGGGCTAGGTGACATAGGGCTAGGGGACATAGGGCTAGGGAACATAGAGCTAGGGAACATAGGGCTAGGGAACATAGGGCTAGGGAACATAGAGCTAGGGAAAATAGGGCTGCCCCGGTCTGGAACTGGTAGTCTCTAAAACAGTTCTTAATGTTTTAACAAAAAAGGACAAGCAAAAAATAATTGCAAGAAAAGCGTGGGCAAATACATATGTGAAACTCTTGGTATACCAAAATATCTTATCTTTTACAGTCTACCTCCCCCCCCCCCCCCCCTCAACACACACACGCCAAAAAATGTAACCATAAAAGTCCCACCACTGGTTCTGAAATCCTTTTTTAAAACATTCTCTCGTCTCTCTCTCTCTCTCTATCCTCCTCTCTCTCTCTCTCTCTCTCTCTCTCTCTCTCTCTGTCTCTCTTTCTTCTTCTTCTTCTTCTTCTTCTTCTTCTTCTTCTCGCTCGTGGTATTCTCGTGTTAGTTTTTCTCTTTTAACTTCCAGCTACATTATTGTCCTCCTCACCTGTTTGACCACCACAGTTGTTCCTCTGTACACGCCCACAGGTACGTCACTGTGGGGTCCGTAAATGTTATCCGACACCATGTCTGGATTAGAGTCGTGACTCAGTAGCATCGCTGTAAACTGATTTCCCGAATACGAGTCTTTCTTCTGAAAACAGAAACGAGACATCCAACGTCAATTTAGGCCATAAATGATTAGCAGGGTTTATCAAATATATTGGTATGAGGTTTATTGGGGTACCAGGATTCATCCTCTCGTGGTGTGTAAGTAAATTCTGGGCTTATTTTAAATAGACTTAATCTTAACCACAAAATGTTCCAAGTCTGCTCTTTGTGAAGAAAGGCCTCCGAAAGACCTCATTTATCGAGAACTGACGTCAAAGGGATAGCCTGACTGACGTCTACAAAAACGCTCTAAAGTCATAATTATGACTTGTAAGCAACACAGTACATTCTTTCACATGTACAGCTTATGCTGAAAAAAGAAGCTGCTGGAATGTTAAAATTATGAAAGGCGAACCAAAATGTTAAGAAACAGAAACACATTGACGAGAAGAGGTAGGGAGAGTTCGGAGAAATGTATAGAAGGTGTGAATTGACATTAATATTACAGAAACCATCAAACGCATGTTGCACTCCTTTACCTTCATGTAAACCAAAATTGCTAAATGGTTGGTCCTGTGGGACCTTAATATACTAACACATAATTACAGATCAAAAGCACATTAAACAAGTTGATTCATGTTAATCATTGACCTCTTTCCGAGTTGTGTGAGTGGAAAAGGGGGGAGGGGAGGGCGAGTAACTGGGGAGTTTTGATTAGAACAAGTTCTTGATTAATTTAAAAACTTAATACCCGGCTCGTTTTTGTCATGGATCCGTTCCATATTCTCATGTAAAGGTCCAAACGATTTTCTTTGATGCCATGAGTAAATGAATTCTTCTTTCATCGGGAATGACCTTTGTTCCAATATCAATGACCGTTTGTTTTTACTTCAGTGGAAAAAAGTTCAATTCTCTCACGCACATGTGTATCGTTCCTCTGTTAATTTTTGTGAGAACTGTTTGGGATAATATTGACGCACATTTGAACACAATAGTATCTTTAACAATAACAAGTTTTTATGAGTGTGCAGTTAAAAGAGAGAGATAAAAATAGAGGGAATGAAAATTATACACATGAACAAAAACAAAAAGAGTGCAATGGAGAAAGAAAGAAGGAAAGAAAGAAAGAAAGAAAGAAAGAAAGAAAGAAAGGAAGGAAGAAAGAAAAGAAAGAAAGGAAGAAAGAAAAACAGAAGCTATGCAAAGAACTAAAGACCAACTGTGAAAGAAACTTGACAAGAAAGAAAGAAAAAAAAAGAAATACATGTATATAAACAAACAATCAAACAAACAAAACAATGGAAGAAACTAAGAAAGAAAGAAAGGGCTTTACTGATCAGTACATAGTGTCCATAATAAAAGATTATTAAACACTAAGAAAAAATAAAAATAAAACACGAGACGGCTGATCATTTGTCCACTTAACCACGTCATGGCCCTGTGCAAATGAGAGTGTGAGTTAACGAGTACGTAAAATTTGGACGAATATTTAATTTACTCCCCCTCATCAAATGAGGTTGACAAGTCCCTCGTGAATAGAGTGCCCCAATTAAACCTCCATCAATTGTACGTGGGACGGGTATACAAGGGCCAGAAATTCCATGGATCGATAAGAGGTCAACTTCTTGAAAACTGGTCTTGTTCCTTTCGAGAAGTGGTTTCTCCCAGGTTCACCGAATGACTAACAAACTCGAGGTCTAGATACAATAACAAGCAAAGGCGTACAGCTCAGACACTTTTACTCCATTTGAGTTTTTGCCCTTCAGCCTGTACAGAGACAGATACATTATTTCAAGAAAGCAAACTTTCTACGTTTTTCTTTTAAAATACATTCCAGAGCTTTCCTGAGTATACAACACAATGGGTACCACAAATTTCTTTGGTAACGTTACCATAGAATTCCTGCCCAATGAACTTTGAGAACCCTGATTTTTTTTCGAGGTGATAGGCAAGACCATAATAAATGTGACGAAAACCCTCAAGTCGGATGTCTGAGACTTTAATTGACATCGACTGCCTGAGGGCGGAGGATGAACAGCCACCAAACACGCCTCTACTTCCTCAACATCTCACGAGCCTATGGCTTTAAAGCCTCATCTGCACTTTTTATGTATATCAGACCCAGATTTTCAGCTCTAGACAGGAGATCAGTTGCCCTCTTTACCAGAATACCCCCCCCCCCCCCCCCGCAGACACAAGATACGCTCTACAAAATTGCTTTGATAAAGACAAAATAAGAGCAGTTTTGCGTTTTCCAAATTCTTACGTTTTCTGTTGTTTTTATTAACGGAATAGATAAAATACTTATTTTAAGCCATTGTACCATTTTCTTGCTGCCCCCTTTTCTCAAATCAAACTGTATAAGAGTTGAACACCTTTAAGCTTCGGCACTAAAGTGACCTAATTAATTGCTTTGTAAGTTCCGTAAAAGGAACATATTAGATATGTTTTCCTGGACACTAATACGTACACAACATTCATTTATGTGGTGTCAGGTTTTCGTTGGTCTACCTATGCATTTAGACTTTTCTCACTACGTTCAACTCCGCGTGTGTTTAATTATATTTCAGAATTTAGAATATTACATGAATAAATTTGTAATACAAGGTTACTGTTTGGAAGAAAATGCGTGAATAGGAAGAGAGGGAGATAGATAGATAGATAGATAGATAGATAGATAGATAGATAGATAGATAGATAGA